ACCTTGAATTCTATATCAAGTGTAATTGTAGACAAAATTTAAGCAAAAAATAAAGATATTTTTAGACATGAAAGAACTCAAAAGATTATTTCTATCTTTCCTAAAGCAAATATTTTGTGGATATACTATAGTAGTATGAAAAATAATCCAAGAAAGAGGAAGAAAAGGAATCCAAGAACAGAATAACCTGACCTAAAAGTACTACAAAAGAAATCTCAGAATGAGCAATAGACCAAGAAAGTAATGAGTACAGTAGAAGGAAACTATAGAACTTTATGAAAAAAATTGATTTATATTAATTGGACATGGGTTGAGGATGGTAATGTGCATGAGAAAACAGATGCAAAAGAAATTTGTAGTAAATGTGAAGCAAAGTGAAACACGGCATTTTGAGCATTTGTTGATAAACACACACAAATGTATTATACATATGTAATATATGGATAATGTGTGTGTGTATCCATTTGACTTTGGCATTTGAAGCAACATGAAATTATACTGCTTTATCCATGTGTCTAATTATACTATCTGGTTCTAAAGAGAGTGATAGTCATATAATCATAATGTTTAAATATTATTTCAGATTTTTATATTTTTTAAATCAAACTATAGACAATGCATATTTATGGTTACAAAACCAAAATGTAAATGGTACAAATGTAAAAATATCAATGTGTATGTGAAAATTATTATACTCACGTTTACATGTAAACTATGTTAAACTCTAAAAGTAAAATGTAATGATTCAGATGATAGAAGTCAGCAAGGAGGAAGGAAAGGGGAAAGAAAGTGTAGGTGAGTTGATATTCTCATCTCATCTAGTGTAGGGAAAATAGAGCCAATCTAAAGCTGGGGATTGGAAAATGTAAGTATAATGCTAAGTAATAAAGAGAACCAATTGAATAACTAAAACATCAACAAACCAACAAAAAATCAGAACTTAAAAGAGGGGTATACAGAAGAGGGAAAAAGTATAAATCTATGAAACGCCCGTAGATCAATATATACTCTCTAAAGTCTTAAGAAAATCAAGAATACAATATTATTTAGAGATAGGATGGTAAATGTCAGAATACCAAAAACAGAAGCAGTTAAAATCATTCCCTTTAGAAATCTTTGGAGATCAGTAGGAGGCAGTGAGGATAAATTTTACTTTTCATTCAATTCCCTTCTATACAAGTTTGAATATTTTAACCAATATGTATGTAAAGTTTAAAAGTAACATTTTTTAAATAAAAAAGAATTTCATATGACTTCTATGATATACATATTCAATTACAATGAAGCAGAATAAGCACAGAAAATTTACTAGTATCTGTTTACTTATTCAACAGGTTTTTGGACCACCTACTATGTGTGTGATCCTGTGCTAACTTCTGAGTCTATAATGAATCAAAAAAACATGCTTTTATAGTAAAAGAACTTACTGTCTATCCATAAAGACAGACAGTAAGCAAATAATTGCACAAATAAATTGCTCAATTATACCGGCATTAAGTGTAGTGAGGAATAAGTATATAGTGAGAAAATACAACAGGGAACATAAGCTTGAGAGACCAAATTGCTTTGGGAGAAACTGGGTTATAAGCAAGTTTAACAAAATTTGATTTCTTGGTACTACCCCATAACAAGTTAATGGACACACAGGGAATACCCAGCAAGAGATCATTGTTTAAGCAAAGGCAACTAAAGGAACTCCCACTTCAGAGAAGTTTTGTTCCTTATTCCAAATAACTCAAGTCAGAAATAAAAGCATTTACATATTTTCGTGATTTTAAGTTTCCTGAACTTGAGAAATTTCTCCCAAAAATGAATCAAATCACTTAAATTTTTTTTTCAAAAACATAATATATTGAAAGCTGACAATTTGGCAGTCTGCTGTGAGGCTAGGGAAAGATCAACCCACTTTAACATTTGAAAAAAGCATAGTATTTCCAAAGCTGTCAAGAACTTCAAGTTGTGAAGGAAGTAATTTGATCCCCTGCACTTAGAAACTATTTACTTACCCATTTCCATCAGCGTTCACTCACATAAACTAAGTGTGAGGAGCAGAAAGCATATTTTTATTCAACCTGTATCCAACCAAGATATGGGATAGAGTGTGAGAGAGGAGAGGATCTTATGACATGACCAGAGGGCTGGCCAGACAGGGAAACCTGTTCTGAGTAGAAGAGCAGTTTCAGGGGCATAAAATGAGAAAACATTAAATAATTAGGAGATCATTTTATAATTTAATAAAAGAATCATTCCTTGCCCTTAGAACAGTCCGGGCTTTCCCGTGTCCCATGTCAGGACTGCCATGGTGTAGACTGCAGGGTCTCAGCACAGGCTACCTCAACTGCAATGAGCCTGTGTTCTTCCTGCATCTTCCTCAGTCTCAGATTCACAGTGCCATACTATCTGCACACACACCCCAACTTTCATGCCCATTTTTGTTGTTTCTGGCTTGGCAACCTGTTTATCTCAACCATTTAGTCAGACTAGGAGAACAAATTTGGATACCTTGCTACTGGTTGTGCCTTTGGAAAGCACAACTTTGAATGGTGTCCATTCAAAGATGGAAACTCTACATAAGCAGACGCACTGCATAGAATACACAGGGCAAGCTCATTTTTGTGTGAACCAAGCAAAGTCAACAAAGCAAGACAATTTCTCTCCCACAAATAAGAAAGTTATATTTCCATCTGTGTACTATTGTACTTACAGTGAAAAATGTAGTAATAGGTGAATCAAAGCCTTTTAACATAGAAAAATCAATAGATATGACATTTCTGACTCTTCTATGTACTTGCCAAATGTATGAATTTCTCCAAACCCCTACAAAACTAAAGTTAGAACAATGATTTCAAACACGGTTAAATTTCAGATTGACTTCCTTGGAAAATCCAAAGAGAAAATAGTATTCATTTCTCAATGTTTTCAGTTTGTTTTTTTCATTTTGGAGCTAGAAGAGTAGTTTGTTTTTGTGAAATCATTTCCAGTTCTCATGATCATGCTAATCATCTCTGCTTTGGAGAATACCTGATGTTTTGTAACGCCTTTTCCAGAGTCATCTTAGAAACATGTATACAGCATATAGTCTGTGTCAGGCCACTGTTCAAATGCTTTATATATATTAACTCACGTAACTCTTATACAACCCTAGAAGAGTGATATTCAGAGAAGTTGTGTCACCTCTCCAAAATCAGACAGCTCAACCGGTGGCAGAGCGAACATTTGAACCCAAGTAGTCTGCCTCCAAGAGCTCTTGTGTAGAAAGCATATCTTGTAACTGAATATGACAGTTTGGCTTTGATTTTCATTATTGTTTTATCAATGCTTTCCTTGAGATTGGTGGTCCTCAGGTGTCAGTGATTCTCCTACTACTTGCACATCCCCTCCCACCTCCGTGTTTCTCTCTACCTGCATTTCCAGCTTGCCTGTCAAATAGTTAATGATCTGCATACAAACACTTACATGAACTAGTGGAGCTCGGCCTTGAAAAGAATCCTAGGGGAATTGTTTAAAGACTCTTTTACAATATGAATAATCATCCCCTAATTTATTCGTCTGTAAAGTTTTGGTTTCATATAGTAGATTTTCTTCAGGCAGGGCCAAGCACGTGTTTTTGCCAGCTCAAATGTATCACCTTTGCTTTGCCATTTTGGGATCCAAGAAACCCAATTATGTTCATAACAACCATTCTCCTTTTAAAATAATAATGAAAGATACATAGCACAAAAACTCTTTGTTAGGGAATATTTCTCACGAAATGAAAATTTTAGCCCTTCAGTTACTTGGAATATTTATTTGTTCAGACACAGGACAATGAAAATAAAATTTAGGTGCCAAGAATATTATTTCTATCCATTTTAGTTTTGTCAAACCAGACCCAGTTTTCACAGCAGATCAAATTATATTTTTATATCAATTCACTTCTCACTTTTTTGTCAAGAAATTTATTATTTTGTAGCCTTAGATCTTTGAGTACCTATCAACTAGCCTTGATTGCTGCAATCCCCTCTTGCGCTGATCTACCGGCCCTGAGAGATCCATCTTCTAGCAGATTCAGTTTTCAGAAATGAGGACATAAACCAGACTAAAACATATTTTTAAGTACTTTGAGCAAAAATTAAAGAGACCCAAGAAGGGCAGACATCCCATAGTTGCCACCAAGTCAATCATTGCTATGAATGCATAACTTCATATTGGGAGCATATAACAGTTTTTGTCTCAGTTGCCGAACCCCACATTTTGATTTGGAGTCCTCACTTCAGGAAGGTTTGAGGTTCAAATTTAGCTCTTTTGTTGTAATACAGTATCTTTCCCAATTAATGGCAAGCAGTGGAAAGAAACATTAATGGGGATATCCTATTCAGTTTTCTCTGAGCTCTCTGAAACACGTTTTCTAAACCCTTCCATGTGATCCAGATCATGTTATGGATTTGTTAACTTTGCAATACATTCGATTGAAACATCATAATTCTTTCCATGACAACAGTGTCTGATGTTACAGATGCACAACCAGCAAGGTCAATAGTTGACAGATGGAAGTTGGAGCCCTGCAATTACATCTCCCAAACCATTACAAAGAATGTAACTGAAGAAAGGTGGAACCTAGTCTAAAAAAAAACACACACACCATACAATAAAAAGCACAAGAATAATTGCATCATGTTTAATGAATCTTTCTTTGATATGACAACCAATCCAAGAATCTTTGATTTCCCTTTCCCTGGTAAAAGTCAAAACATTTTGAGGCGGTGGCAGTTTATCTAAATTATTGTTTTCCCTCCATCAGTCTTTAGGCTTAATCTCATTTGCTTTTATGGATATGGTAACCCTTTTGAATAGCTTTTAACCTTTTAAAAGTCGCCTTGACCTGAAGAGCCTAAAATTTTTTTAATATAATATGGAATGATAAAAATTGAACAATTGAGTGCTTTTCTTACTAGCAGTCTGCCTGCAGTGCTCCGGGTCCTACAGCAGAGTTTCTGTCTGAATGAAAAAAATTAAAATACCTGTGTATAGCTTGCTTCTAGCAGAAACCTTCAGCTCTGACCTCCGTTTCATCGGCTTCATTGTTCCTGGTGCCCCCACAATATCTTGGCTTTCTCTTTTCTGAAGGAAGAATGTGCTTTATCCCACAGCACATCAGTTTCAAAGGGCTCTTACTTCAAGTGTCCAGACCATCATTCTGGTAAATTTAAGAAATCCTCGGCTTAAGATCATCTCTTTCAATCGCATTTAATGTAGGTAACTTCATGACTAAATATTATAAACCAAGCCTTTTGTTTGCTTTTTTTTTTTTTTCTCACCACAGTCTCTGGGGCATTTTCCATCTTGTGTTTAGTAACATGTAGAACAAGAAGATGATCCACAAATACAGCTCACCTTTTTTTATTTTTTTAAATCTTCTTGTTTGTGGGATTTAATTACAAAATTAAAAGGAGAAAGAACAAGATGGCATTCCTGCTGGCCTGGGAGAAGGGACAGGACGCCCCAGCCGAATGCTACCCCGTGGTAAGAGCTGAGAGAGGGGAGCCCCCTCTAGGAAGAGCCGCCTCCGTCCGACCAGGCAGCCCAGGCTGGGAGCCTCACTCCAGCATCCTGAGCGAGGAAGATCTATTGTTGGGAATGTCAGTCAGCTGACGTTTTGCCTCCTACTCTCTCTATCTGAGCGGGGAATCTGCATTTTCTAAGCCAGTTGGCAGCATGCACCACAAACAGCAGCGCACTGCAGGCCCCCGGTGTAGACTGTCACCCTGTGATAAGTGTGCCAGCTCAGTGGTGCAAAGGTTTTCAGATACCCTCCCTTGGGCTATCATTCCAGTAGGCAGCTCCTCCTCCCCTTACTCCGCCCCTCTCCCTCGCACACACCGAGCATCAGGCTTTCCAAGCTCAGTTCTCCACACAGTTACAATAACCCATCCCGGTCAGTGATGCTTAAAATTGCACCATGGTTCATGGGAGCAGTAGGCTCTCCCCGCAAGCACCCTAATGTGTTAAACAGCCATGCCAGGTAGCTGTCTCCTTTCTCAGAGTCAACTACTTATAGAGACCATCTGTCAATGGAAGTTAGATTTTATGCACGTCCTCTATCCTAGCGTTTGAAGGATAAACAAACTTGTACTTATATATAATTTTCTTTAAGAGCGGTATCTCCCTAAATGTTCTCTCTAGCTGCCTGCTTCGTGCAGGCCTAAAAATGGAAAAGCAGCGCAGGTTTGGAGCCCCTCCGGTGACCGAGTACGTACCTCCAACAGGACTGCGTTTGTACAGCTGAGACTCGACATGTAGGGCCCTTTAGGTGGTTGGAATTATTTCGTTTGGCACCGTGAGTGCCTCAAATAATACATATTTTCAGAGAGAAACATTGCAAAAGTAAACTCGAACCAATAGGGACATTTATTCTTCAGGTTTCAAATTAATTTCCTGTATTTCTCCGGCTTAAAACAAATTCTATTGGAAGTGCAACATTATGAGGAGAAAAATCAGAAACTCTTTCTTTTACACTGAGCCTAGTATCAGATGAAATGGAAATGGGAGGGCTTCCTCAGGGTTAACCCACTGGAACTTTCCAGCTGAGAATTGAGATCTGCAGACTGTTTTAGGTTAAGACCCTGCTCCACTCCATGTTAGGTAATCAGATGTCATTTAGGCAAAATAAATGGGAAATACTCAAGGAATCAGAAGAGGTGAAAGAGCAGAATCTGGTTTGGATAAAAGTTTAATTCTTCAGTTCCAAGAAGCACAGCCCTTCGAAGATGCTGCGCGAAGTGAGACAGGAGTGGCCAAGTAATGAAGATGGATGCATCTTGTTATCAGCAAGCCGTTTACTAGGGCTTGACGTAACCTTAAACATTGCAGATAGCTCAGTGGCACTTGCCACTAACCCCCTAATTAATGAATAGCAGGCCCTAAATTAACAATGTGCATTTACAGATGAATTCTGGGCACTCATTAAATGATGTTCAAATACCAAGCAGCAACTGTTGGCTTATTCCTGCTGGGTTACTCTATCCGCCGGGCGCTTGGAAGGCATTTCCACCAGGGCTTTCCTGTCTTCCAGGGCTGGAGCCTAGCTGTGGAACAGAAAGGGACACTGTTCTCAGAGGGGATGGGGCAGAGATGTGAGTTCAGCTTTGAGTGCTGACACCTGTGCTGTCACTTAAAGGGGATCAGAAACAATTCCATATTTAGCTGGTGCTGCCAATAAAGGTGTAAAAAAAAAAGTTTGAATCCCAACCAACTCTGCCAAGGATGGAATGAGACATTTCAGAGAGCAGCCCCGCACTGCACATTCGTGGGCGGGCTGGAATGTACTCTGGGGGTGGAGGGTTTAGACAATGTGTAGATTTGTTTGGCAAAAGCTTAATTCATAAACAATTAAGGGCTTGTGGTGGGGGAGCTGGGGTCTGGCTGCAGCGAGGCCGTTGTTCTGACTGCTCCCTCCACTGAGGCCAGAACCAACCAAAAAATGTGTTCTGCAGCAAACAGTAGCCAAGCTAATTATCTAGCATGTTCTGTTGAGGGTTTTCCTCTTGATTTCGAGGAATAAATGGGGAGCTGCGGACTTGTAATGTAACAAGGATGCAGCCCCCCTGTGGGAAGGTGTATATGTGGCTATTAAATCATATTATTACCTTCAACTCTCGCAGAAGTAAAATAAAGGAAGAAGCCAAGTGTGAGTAAGACATTGGAAAGTAAATTAAGTGGAAAAGAAAAATTTTTTTGAACTTCTGCAAGAGGCGGTCATGAAAGAGGTTCTTGCAAAGCTGTGGTGAGGAGTAGAAATGGATTGCATGGGAGAGGATGTCCAGAAACCTCTCCCTTTGGGTCGTTTCTGCTCTGGCTGAGATCCTGGTGCAGGGCCCTTCTGTGAGGGGAAAGCATGTGAGGTTTTTAGCGGTCACTCTCCAAAATCCTCCATGCTAAAGAAAGCACAGCTGCCTGCCCACCAAGGGCACAGGGCAGAGGCTGTGTAACAGCCAGAGAAAATTCCCCATGCACAGTGCCAAGACCCATGTATGGTCAAAAGCAAAGGCATTCCCTTGTTTCTACAGATCGTTCCCACATCAGGCTTTTTTCAAGCTTAGGTCTGTGTGCACTCAGGGACAGGGTACTCCCATGGACTCACAGAGGCAGTATAAAGGCAAACCAGTATGCCAAAGGAAAAAAACAATTCTTAATTTTAAATGCCAAAGGGACCTGTGTTGGGTAGGGAGCTAAGGGAGAGGGGGTGCTATATTCTTGATGTCTGCCATCTAAACATTCCTGAAGAATTAATTGGTAGGAATTGAGCCGAGTGGGGAAAAACAGGTGTTTCCCTCTTCCCAAGGGCATTTCTCATTTATTATATATCCTAGTCAAAAGTTTCTTTTTAAGCAGCCTTTATCACCTACAGATAGACAGAGGCTGTGTGAAAAAAGCACCCTAAGCAATCATTTTAAGAGCTGCCCTCATTCCACATTGTGTGACTGAATACAAATCCTTTATTCTTCCCAGTTTGATGATGAGGTGGGGATTTAACCTCCGCTTGCCATCATTATCAGTTCACTGAGTTTCTGAGTATAAACCACAAAGCTCCTGGAAATGGAAGTTACTGGATGTTTGCCCTTGCCCCATTCCCCCCACATCCAAAGCAATCCAAATACAGAGCTTACTGGGAGGGGAGAAGATCAATAGGACACAGTTTCTTATTAAAACATTCCCCTGGATTTCTCAGAACTCCATCTGTGGGATCTCTAGTCCCAGTGGTCATACGATTAGGGAAAAAAAGTGGACTTCAGACAATGAAAGAGAATGAGCAAAGGACAGACGCAAATCACAGCATCTTTTTCTGCCTCCATTGTAAGCTGCATAGCCCAGCTCATCATAGCATATGTATAGGCTGCATTTCAGGTTTCAAAAGCCTGATGGTTCAATCAGGAATGTATGCAATAATAAAACAACAAAAGAGCTGTCCCTTACATAACCCTCACTGGCAGAATCCCTCCAGAATCCCTAGCCCATATCCCTCTGATTCAAGGGGTTCCTGGTGTGTCTCACATGTGTCCCAAATCACTGCAAGTGTCCTCTGCTCCCACCTCATGGCATTTTCTCAACTTTCTCTTGACATTTCTGACTCCCAGAATGACTCTCCAGATGTGAAAACTGACATCAATCCACCAGCCAGATATTTCCACCCTGACATAATCTCTTTTAAGAGTCTGACCTTGGCCTAGGGAAGCTTTCCTGGACCTACATGAAAGGAACCCATTCTTCCTCAGTCTAACGTATTATCTAGGAAGTTAAAGGCTAGCCATTCATTCTTGGGAGACTCTTCTTTCTAGGGCACAAGTCATCAACCCCAGCCTGGTGGCTATGAATTCTTCTCTCTGTCCAAAAAGAGTTTTACCAGCTCATTATACCAGCCCAGATAGACATGTCTAGGTCTGCCCAGATTGGCTGACTACATAGTAGATAGAGGTCCTCACTATGAGATCCTCAAATACGCATGATTAGGGGAAATAATTTTACCAAGTGCCACTACTACATACAGGATCATGTAGTGACCAGATACACACCTTCTCCTGTTAACAGCAGTGTCTTTATAGGACTGCTTCTTGTATTAGGGTAATTCTATCTAAATACCCTAATACATTAATTTGTAATTCTAACAAAACAATACAAAAAGCATTAATAGATCAAACACAAGAAAAATTTATTTATCACTCAAAAAAAACCCAAAATGAGTATTCTTCCAAGCATGATACAGGGTCCCAGACTCCTTTCATCTTGTAGCTCCACTGCCTTCAACACATTGCCCCCAGGGTCAGCATGCTCTTTTGCATCAAACTGAGAGAAAGGAAAAGAGAAGTGCACTTGTTTTTGAACCTTTTTGACTCAGCACCAATACACTACTTACAATGCATTGATGAAAAACAATTACATGATCCCTTAGATATAAGGGATATGAAGTTAAAAATATAGTCCATGGCTAGGAAATCATTTCCCTGCAACAGTTCTACACTTCGGAGGAGGAAGCACAAATGTTGAGGAGAGCCAGGCTTTTCTGCCAGAGCACTAGACTGATAGGTATCCTAACAAAAGTATTATAACAGTGTATATTCAATTTCAACTTGCTCTTATTTTGAACTCTTTATGTGTCAAATGTATTAACCTATTTAGTTCTTACCACAAACCCCTGGTAAGGTTAGGTCCGTTATTATTACCCTACCTTACAAAAACAAGAAGTGAGGAATGTTAAGAAATGTCTTGAAGGATAAACATGAGTTAGGCACAATGACATCAGTGGGAATGGCAGAATAAGGACCTCTAAAAATCTGCTCCTTCATAGAAACAAAGAGAACACTGGCAAAAACTGTCAAAATTAAAACATTCAGATCTCTGAAAATTAACCAAAGGTTTGTAATAAGCTGAGGAGTATTTATTGAAAAAAAAAAAAACAGCTGAATCTCTGTAAGCAAAACAAGCTTCATAATATTATAACTTGCCCCATCCCCATCCATTTCTCCATAGTGTTGATTCAGCCTTGAAACCCAATAGTCCCACAGTTAGAGGGAAAACC